GGAAGGAAGGAAGGAAGGAAGGAAGGAAGGAAGGAAGGAAGGAAGGAAGGAAGGAATACTGGCCACTGGCCTATAGTTTTTTTCATCTTCTGAGTCCTGATTTGGTTTCTTCAAAAGTTGCCTCTCTAATGAATTTGGAACTGTTCCCTCACTCAATGAAGCATTTTCAGCCTCCTGGACCCAGCTGGACAGCCCTTCCCTACCAGTTTTGATAACCACACAAGTGGTAGACTGACCATGTCTAAGTACCTCAGGCCTCAACAACTGAAATTTATCCAGTAAAACCGGACAGGACAGTGCTCTGAACACTTCCACTTCTGGAGTTGTATTAACTGCAGAAATGAAGTTTTTATCTTTAAAGTGACACTGAGAAGATGGAATGGAGGTGGAGAAAAAAGTTTCTTCACCACCCTCACCGCCACCAAATAGGCCCAATAGTGGGCTCTAAGCTGTGTTTGATTGTATTTGGCACAAATTTTCCTTCAATTGCATTCTAGACATCATCACACTTGCTTCATAGCCCTCAGCTCAGGGGGCTTAATAAATAAACAAAAAATTATGTGTATATATATATAAACACAGTCCAAAACAACATACAAACACACAAGCACACAGTGCTGGGAAAAAACTCATCCAATGGTTCATACCACTCTCAGACCAAATACCTGAGGAGAAAAAAAAAAGCCTTTAATGCCTTCCAAAAGGCAGGCAGGGTTGGAGTTAAATGAGTCTTGGGGGCGGGGATGCTATTCCAAAGAGCAGGAACAACAACAGAGGAGGGACATTTCCTAGGTCATACCAGATGACATTGTTTAAACATCAGGGCCCAAAGCATGCCTATCCCTCTGAACTTTAAAGAGATTTTTTAAAAATCTCTATTGTATTGTTTAGAAACCTTGGGAGTTGTCAAAACCGCTGGAGGACACTCAGGTGGAGAAGGTTAAGATACAGAATAGTTAAATCCATTTATTTGCAGCCCATATTACTATCACCCATAAGCTTATTCTCTTCCTTTTCTGCATTAATCTAGGGATTTGTAGTGGGTTTTTTTAACAATTTCCCATTTAAAGAAATCACATTTAAATATATATTTCTAAAATACCTCTCCCAAGATATGAATTTATATTATATTAAACATATTTTATCTCTAAATATGCATCTTAAAACATGTTTTGGTGCACTATTATTTAACCACTGAAATGTTCTGTAAGTGTGGAAGCCAATGATTCTCAGACGTTATTTCAGGTCAGTTCATATCCAAATTCCTCAAACATCCCTAGTGAAGTGTTGACTGCCTTTAATAGACTCAAAAATCTTTCAGGATCAGATTAGCATTGACAATAGGATGCAGTGAAGTGGACCATACCTTTAGTTAAATTGCACTGGAATTAGGAGCAGCTGTAGGCTCAGAACAGGCTTTTGCGGTGTTGCTCTCAACTGCAACATGGATTATGGCAGTAACAGTTGCCACAGGAAGTCATTCAAACACACTGCATCAGGCTGTGAAGCTTGACAGGAACTCAACAAATAAAATAAAAATAATTCTGACATCCTACAGGCAATGGCTAACTAAATGTATTTTGAAAACAGTGGTAGAAAATAAAGTACGCACTCTTTCAGAGTGGGAGAGTTCACAAGATGAGTGAAGCTCATGTTTCCATGCCTTTTTTCTAGCACAGCAGCAAGGGGTATGGAAGTTTTTCTTTCATTTTTTAGAACCCATTGCTGCACCATTCAACTATTGCTTGAAACAAGCAAACATCAATCTATAGGTTATGATACTTGTTTAAACAATCTATATTTCATATTAACTGTAGTTCAAATGACATTGTTAATGAAACGTGGAAGCAAAAGTTTTTGAACTCACAGCAGAGAAGCCAGAGCATATATATCTTAGTTTCACCCTAGTTTGTATTTGTCATGCTAATTTATGAGCCAGTCCAGCGTTCTCTAACCTGGTGACTTCTACATGTATCACATTACAACCCCCATATTTGGCCAGCCTGGTACAACAATTGACAGTGCTGGTTTGGAGATGGTGGGAATGATAGTCTAATATATCTGGAGGCTGTGTGTTCCTTAGCTTGCTTCCTGTATAATCAAATGTTAATTTACACATTTAAAAATGACATACTTTGGGGCAAACTATTGCATAATTAAAAATTATGCTAGGCTAGGGAAAGGTTCGTTTAGCCTAATCCTGCAATGATAACTATATTTCATCTCCTCTACCCAACCACCAATATACACAAGAATACTCCAGAGAAATCTGTAAAAGGCCTTGTTCTTGGCTACCTGTTAGAACTTATAGACCTGGTTCCTCATGCTAAGCTGTGGGTTGTTTTTTTTTTAATTAATCCCAATAAATTTCAGATCATTCTAAGACATAATATGGTTTGTTTGATCATGGCTTAAAACATTTTGGGAACCAGTCATAAACTGTTATTTGTGGCACAAATAAAAACATACCAGTTTATATTTGAAAATGTGCAATAATCTGCTTAGGTGAACATAATACATTATTTTTGAGCTGCTAGCATCAGTGAAAAGAAATAATAAAAGTAATAGATGGTAACAATATATGGCTGTGCAGCAAAATTTGTAATTATGCAATAGATTGCCCCAAAGTATGTCATTTTTAATTGTGTGAATTAACATTTGATTATTCAGAGAGGAACGCACAGCCTTTTAGATATGCCAGAATAGCATTTAAATAAAGAGCAGTTTGTAATATATTTCATTGGTTCTTGAGTCATTGTCGAAGCCTATATTCTGTATGGCCATTAAAAGGTATTAGAAGTTAAAAGGTATGTTGTGTATGGGTATGTGTGTGTTTTAATTAAAGTAACCTGTTGTGTAGTGTTATATGTAATAACCTTAACTGTTTGGGAATTGAGTAATTAGGTTCATTTCTTTATTGGAAACTTTGAGATTGTGTAGTCTGGTACTACCATAGCTGAATGTAGTCATTTTTTTTTCTTTTTTTCCTTCCAAAGTATTTAAAAAAATAAAATATTCTCACTGTTTTCAGGTGACAGCTTTTAAAAAAAATAAATATACTTATATAGAATATGAGTATAATCTGCAAGAAAATCTGATCAGGTCTTTGCTAAACTCAGAGTGATAGTATATTGGGGAAAGTTGTACTAGAGGTTTTTCTCCCTCTGTTCATAATTAACCTAATCTTGCAAAACTGAAAGCTAGAAGAGTCAAAACAGATAAGAGGAAGCACTTCATCACATAAGTCATAATTAGATTTTTAACAGGAGGTGATGTGTACTTGTATTAATTAAAAATTAAATATAGAATTTGCTATTACAAGATGTAGTAATAGTCCCAAACTTGAACAGCTTTATAAGATCAGACATGTCCATGGCAAATAATGCTTTCATTGATTATAATCATGATGGTTTTAAATCTACCTTGAGGTAATGTCTGGAGCTATAGAACCCTATGAGTAGTGTATACTTCTAAAAAAAATATACTCGGTCACTGTGTGACATAATGCTGATCTGATCTAGCACAGATGTTCTCATGGTCTTAGTACCATCTAGCATGAAATAAAATTATCCCTCAGAATGTACCCAACCACTGTACATTATAAATTAATGGTTATGTTTCATTGGACATAGCATTATAACCATCAATCTATGATGCTCTTCATTTATGGGAATCCAAACAAATCTATAATGGAGATGCTGAGTCTGAAAAATAAAACTGAGGCCATCTGTAGATTGCCCAAACTGGAATTTAGAAAGTTCTCTTTCTAAGTTTTATTTCAAAACCATCTTTGTGTTTTTATTTTTGTTTTTCCTTTCATACAGATTTTGATCAACCTGATTTCAAAAAGAGCATTGTTTGTCCTGAAGATTTAAGAGTTGGAACTATTCTCACAGGAAGAGTTGAAAATGCTACTCTCTTTGGAGTTTTTGTTGACATTGGAGTTGGTAGAGCAGGACTAATTCCAATTCGTAGCATAACAGAAGACAAACTTTCAAAAGCAAAGAAAAGAAGAAGTCTCGGTCTTGGTCCAGGAGAAAAAGTTGAAGTCAAAGTGCGTGAAATTGACCTTCCACGTTCCAGAATATCTTTAGACTTGATACGTGTATTGTGAGCAATTTGTGGACATTTTTCATAGTAAGGGCTACTATTTCAACCATGATGAAAAGAATGTAGTGGAAAAATGAGGACTGACTTAGAATCTTCATTCATATTACAGTTAAAAGAGCATGTTGGGCTATTGAGAAATTCAGAACCTGACTAAAAAACATACACCTTCCAGTTGTATGAATGACTGTATCATTTATGGTGCAAAGGATGTCAACTTGGCTATAGCTATTTGTGCAACTGTGATGGTTCTTTACAACAGTTGTGGAAATCACTTGTTTCTTACATCCAGCATTTGGCTTCCATGAAATTCACTAAAAGATAGAATACTTTCATAAGCAGTAGTGAAACATGTATGTGGGTTAGTAAGTGCCTGAACCAAATCATCATTGCCCAAGCAAAGAAAAAGTGATTGAATCCAGCTAGTCAAAATTCTCCAATCAGGTTTTAACCTACAACATTTTTAATAAGAGCCTTCTTAATTTCTAGGTGTTTCTTGTAACTCCAGTTTCCATAGTTGTATATTTCAAATATAATTAAAAAATAAGTAAAAAAATATTATGCTCAGATGTTTAAGTGGGTATTATGGAACATTGTATTTCTAGGAACTGTTCAGCAGATTCCATGTATTGCAGTTGACAGTTTGGTTATGATAGCTCATGTCTCTGACCATTTTCCCTTCCTCAATCTTCCATTCCCATTAATATTGAAAAGTAATCTTAGAAGAGATCCTTGAGCTGAAATCTCTCTATGGTAAACTTGTGTCTGGGCTATATAAAACATTCCCTGCATATATGTATGTCTGAAAGAAAGTTTTTAATTTCCTTGCGCTTTTGGTAGCAGCTTAATTTTCTGTGAGGAAGGATTTTGTCTGCATGAAGGACCATTCAGCAACATTATTCTATTACCATAATGTGTACAATACAGGCCTGACCCAGTTTTTTTTTTTTATATAAAATTGTTTAAATTTCAATGGTAACTTGAGCAATTGACTCCAACACTTACTTTATGTGTAAAATTTTATTTGCTTCCATGTAACTATTGGCCTTTTTTGTTATAGATAGAATCTGCCTTTTGCAGGCTGAGTAGTAATGGCTCTATGGATCTGTTCCTAAGATATTTCTTTAAAAGGTTTTAGCTTATGCTTTTTTTTTTTGCTAGCTGATTCTTTTTAAAAAGGAACAGTAGTAATGGGAATCAAGTTTGTTTAGATCGAAAACTACAGCTAGTATTATACTATATTAACCTGGAAAAACATTGTTAATAGCAGGTGCAGAATTTTTTTATATGTCTTGAGTTACAAGATACAATGTAGTCTTGATAAACAACATTTTCATTAAGAGAAAAACCTTCCAATGGTTTCTTGAAAAACATGTTTATTAAAAAAAATCTTTGCCTGAGTGTCTTTTCTTCTAATTATTATTATTGCAAATCAATGCATAATTATTTTTGTACAAACTGCTTTGTGAACCCTGTGTGTTGGGAGCAGTTTTATCAACTCTGCTCATTTTTATTATTTACATTTCTTTCATATTCCTCATTTGTTTGTGATTAGTAACAGAGAGACTAAATACCATAGGAACCTGCAGGGGGCAGATGATGATGATGATGACGACGATGATGATTAATTTATTAAATTCATATGCCACCCAATTCCCAGTGACTCTGGGCAGTTTACAAATTGTTAAAAACATTTTAAAACAATGATGAAACATACTTGCATCAAATATCATTACACAAATACATAAGATGGAGTTTGTGTTGTGTGGTTACTGTATGTGCGTGGTCATTTTTTCAACATCAAGGCTAATTGGAGATATTTATATTAGAGACTATATGTTAAGGCTCCAGAGGTAAATACCTGTCTACCCCTTCTATGAAAGGCATACTTTGCTACTTTTCTGAGTAGTGTTTGTGTGGAAGGGAGTTTATTCAGCAATAAGGGCAGTGAATCTTTGTTATTTTCCTGTCCTTTTTGTGTCCACAGCGTGCCATTGGGTGGCCCTTTTCAGCGTAACCTGGATGTTAGGTAAGGAAGGGCCATGGAAATTTCTGCATGGCGTCTATGAGGACTGTTCGCTAGGCATCTGTCAGATAAAGTAGCTCAGATTCATTTGGAGTTGGAATCCAGCTGTACAGGTCCTTTGGAGTTGCCTGAAGCATATCTGGCCCAGTTATCTGGGAAGAGTTTGAACCTGTGGGTCCTGAAGAAGTGGACAGGGTCCTGGGTGCTATGAATTCAGCCTCCCTGTCCCTTCTGGCTGATCTCCCAGGTGACAGGCGGTTGGGTCCAAATGATGGTGAATGTTTCTGTGCAGGAGGGAATAGTTGTCCACCTTGAAGGAGGCAGTTGTCCACCCCCTCCTTAAGAGACCATCACTGGAACCTTTCCAGTCAGGATTCAGGCCTAGTTATAGTACTGAAACAGCAATTATTACACCTGTTGATGACCTCTGGCAGGCTCGGGATGGGGTAGTGCACTATCCCATCAACCACGGTCTCCTTCTGGCCTGGCTTAGGGGATTAGGAGTGGGAACAGTGGTTCACCTCCTTTCTGTGGCGCCAGTTCCAGTCAGGGTTGGCATGGGGAGAGAAGTTGAACCCGAGGGTCCTGCTCCATGGGGTGCCTCAGGGCTTTACTCTCTCGTCATGCCTCTTTAACATCTATATAAAGCCACTGTGTGAGGTCATCTGTTGGTATGTAGTTAAGTATCATCAGTCCAGAATGCAGCAGTGATAGGCATGCCAGGGAATGCCCATGTGACACCCCCCCCCCCGCTTCATGAGGTATGCTGGTTGCCAGTTTGCTTCCAGGTGTGATTCAAGGTGCTGGTTATGACCTATAAAGCTCTACGTGGCAGGGGGCCTGGTTACATGAGGGACCACCTATCTCCTGTGGTGTTGGCCTGGCTGGTTCAAGCTGAGAGTCTCTCAGTTCCTTTGATTAAGCAGTTCCTTTGATTAAGCAGACATGCCTTCTCTGTCATGGTGCCTGTCTTCTGGAATGAGGCTATCCCTGAGATCCCACCCTGATGGCATTCTGGAGGGCCTTAAAGACCTGACTCTTCTCCCAGGATCTGGGCTGGGCGGTTGGAGCCCCTTGTTGGGTGGGTGTATGATCTGTTATTGCTGACTGAAATTGGAATTTTTGATGTTACATGTTTTCTTTCTCTTTATTGTATATTTGTTATTTTGTTTTTATGCTGTCAGCTGCCCAGAATTGATTTGGAGTCAGGTGGCATCATCCATAAATAAATAAATAAATAAATAAATAAATAAATAAATAAATATCTTCATTGTCAGTTCTGAGACTGGTTGCTGTACCTGTTATCATTAGTTTGGTCTTCTTTATATTTAGTCCCATTTTTCCCTGTGCTTCTTGGCTTTAATTACTGGAGCTTGCAGATCAGTTGCATTTTCAGCTAGTGTCATCAGCATAGTACGGGCGATTGATGTTTCTTCCTCCAGTTTTAAAATCACATTCATCTTCCAATTCAGCCTCCCTCAATATATATTCTATATATATATATAGAAAAATACTTGGCTGCAAACCACATTGTGAGGCATAATTTTATGTGGGCTTACAAATCATGGTTTGCATAAATTGTGGTTCAATATTATTCAGGGGGCAGTCCTAATTTTACTTATGAATTAATACCTTTCCCTCAACCATAATGTGGTTCATTTGTTTTTGGCTTTAGCATAATGTATAAACTATCTACTGCGACTTAGCATTATGTTTTGGATCTTTGCCAGGATTAATGCTAACCAAGACTGAGCACTTCTTCCATATGCAACCAGATAACCTACTTTATCAGATGAGATAGCAAAGTTATCAAATGAGCCATTCATTATTAGAAACTCATTAAATCCTTTCCCACATAGCACATGCACCTATCTATGAATTTCAATAGTACAGAGGTGAGTTCAAAAAGCTTAATCTAAAGGAAGTAAACTTCTAAATGAACTGGGATGCCTGCCAAAACTATCTGTTCCACAGGAAAAGGGGCATAAATTATTTTTCATTCCATCTACATATATTTTAGGGATCAGCCATATAGATTAAGTTTGAGGTCATGATAGAATGGCATGAAAAACTTACTAACAGCATTTAAGATTAATAAAATAATGGTTTTGCTAATCTTCACTTTCACAGCTCATGAAAAGCTGCGACTGAGAATACAATTTGCTTCAGCAAAAGATAGCTGAGTTCTTTGTAATTTATACCAGGCACTGAAACTTTTATATAAAACAATGCAAAAATGTGTTGGGGGCTTTACCTAGGTGCTCTTACTTATTATCTATTTTAACATTTGTTTTCTTCAAAACAAGAATGTATGTATTCAGTCTGTTCTCTAAGCTTAACTTTTTCTTTTTCCACTGCTGTAAATGATACAACAGGCTATCTGGTGAAAAGTTCTGACATGATTTGTGAGCATAGGCTACTATAAAAATCACTTAACAAAGACAACTAGGGCTTCTTTTTATTTTTAGCTTTGATCTGTAAAAAACTTGTACATACAAACCTAACCTGGCTTGGGTTGATGTCTTCTAAGTAATCCCCCCTCCCTGTTCCCTGAAAGGGTTTGCCTACAATCACAGGCTGGTCTCTCAGTCTGAGGTCCGGCCTTTTCAGTAGCTGCCGTAGCTCTTTAGAAGGTCCTCCCTGCTCAGTTGAAAGGTGTGACCTCTGAGGTTGCTTTTCAAAAAGTCTTGAAAACACCTCTCTTTGGACAGGCTTTTCATTGTTGGTCTTCTAAATTCGTGTTTAATATTCTTGCTTTTAACTTTTTTTTAAGTTTTCATAAATGGTGAGGGGACCACAAAAATTGGCAATACAATCAATCAAATTTTTAAAATAATACTTCAGCCAGTTTTTACCAATCTGATGTGTAGCCTATCAAATGTGCTGGACTACAATTAGGATTTTAGCATGTTTTACCTCTAAGAGAGAGAGAGAAAGAGAGATGATAGAGATAGATAGATGGTAGATAATTGTTGATCCCTGAGAGATTTAGATAGTTACTAGTTTCATAACCTTAATAACTACTGTACACAGCACTGCAGGAGGCTACTTCCATACTGAAAGCAGTAAGGTTGAGTGAGTTTACGCTTGTGTACAGACCTTGCTTGCAGGCCTCCTTTAGATAGCAAGAATATATTTTATCGGCATAGGCTGCCTAGCCCAGCAGGAAGGAAATCTTCTCTGTGGCAGCACACTTTCTTTGGAATAATCTCTTCCTCACAGCTGCATTAACATGCATTCCTCAAGTCAGCAGAAAACTATGCTAATAGAAATTGCACTCCCCTAATGGCTGAGTCCTAACAGCCTTAGTGATGCTGTTCTTATAGTTTTAATGCAGGACAACATACTGACAATAACTGATGGATTCCCGCTGCTGCTTTTCCCCTCCCCCCAACATCATCTTCCAGGGTGAAAAACAAGAGCCAAATGCTATCTTTCACAGGGCAGGCTTGGGTGACTGGGCAAATCCTGGGACAGAAGTTCCAGCCACTTTTAAATTGCCTGAAAGACAGATTATTGGTGTGGAGAACATAGGCATTGCTAATCTGTCCAGCCATTTCTGGCCACAGCTCTAGCCGCCTTCTGAAAGAGTGTTGGGCCTATTTGTTCAACCACTTGCCCATTCCTCCTCTGGAAAACCATTAAAGACATATAAAAGGAACTGATGTAATGCCCAAGCTCTTTCTGAAGTGCCAGTCAGCAGACAAAATGCCCGTGAAAGGCAGTGCCCAGTGATTGAGCATTGGAGGAGGTGTGCCCGCATCAGCCTAAAGCAACCAGTAGGAACCAGGTAGATTCCAGGTTCTCCAACATCGTCAAAGAGGCATCACAGTTCATTTGTATGGCAAAACTTGTACTGGGAGGAGAGAGAAACAATAATTGGAACAGCTAAATAAGACTTTAAGCTACCTCCACAGTGAGCTGGGGATATGTTGAAGGTGAAACCATGAAGCTATTTCCTGAAAGACAGTTAACAAGGCATGTTCATGCTGTAGTTAGCAGGAAATGAAAATGAGTTCCACCTCTCTCTCTCTCTCTCTCTCTCTCTCTCTCACACACACACACGCACACACACACACACACACGTACACAATATTCAAGAAGTGCCTCATGTTTTCAGCTGCTGCTTCTTTGTGTATATAGTTCTTTTCCTTATCTCTTCCCTCCCAGCTTTCAAATGTTTGTACACAGAATCTTTTAATTAATGTAATAGTAGATGCTTTGTATTTTTTTTATTATTATTATTCATTTCATTCGGGTGTGTAGATTTTTGGTGATGGAGTTTTTTGAAGTATCAAGGGCCAGACTAGACAGCAAGATGATGCAAAATACATGAGCTACATCCAAATATATGAGTCAGTCTAGAATTGTCCAT